TTTAATAAATCAAAGCTAACTATGCCACTAAACCCTCTGTTTATTAACATGTTATAGGTGTGATCTGAGTCCAAAGGTCACTTGGTGAGATCTCCAGGATCCTGTGCCCTGGAACAAAGAACTGAACCAAGGGATACATGGACAACAATTAAAAATAGACTCTTTTTGAAAGAGAATTCCCCCACACTTTTAAGGGGTGGGGGAAGGTGCAAGAGAACCAAAACAAATCTGAGACTTCAGAGCCCCACAGCCTGTCAAGACTTTTCTGGGATCATTTACTTTTTCAGAGAGATCTAGCCACATCCTACCCTGAGCTCTGTTTCGGCACATGCAGCCCTGGTGGGGCATGGGAGGTCCCAGTCCTTCTGCTAGTGGGTTTCATGTTAACCTTGATGTCTCTTCTGCAGCCTGACTTGCCTGCCACAGGGGCTCTGTAAAGTACTGTTGTACTCAGTGTGTCTGTATACTTTCCATCTCCCTCCTCTCCCAGTGCTTCCTTTCTTGCTTTGGCCCTTACCTGCCCAGCTCTCCATGAGACAGTGCCCACTGGTAATTTATAGTTTCTGTTTTAGCCTCTCAGCATTCTCCATGGAAGGTTCCCCTCAGTTTCTGCTTCCTTCCACTCTTTCCTAAGAGTTCAGTCCCCCTTTCCTATCCAAGGTCACCTCCTCTGCGTGACTGTTAAAAGCCAGCTTTCCTCCAGGTCTCTTCACTTTCTCTTTCTCTTCCTTCTCCTCCTCCCTCTTCTCTTCTCTTCTCTTCTCTTCTCTTCTCTTCTCTTCTCTTCTCTTCTCTTCTCTTCTCTTCTCTTCTCTTTTCCCTTTTCTTGAGTGACATTTCCACATCAGTGGCTTTATTAGTGAAAACTCTTAGATAGGTAAATAGATAGATAGATAGATAGATAGATAGATAGATAGATAGATAGATAGATAGTGTAGTGTAGTGGCTTGAATGAAAATGGCCCCCATAGGCCCATAGTCAGTGGCACTATTAGGAGGTATGGCCTTGTTAAAGTAGGTATGGCCTTATTGAAGAAAGTGTGTCACTGGGTTTGAGGTTTCAAATGCTCAAGCCAGACCCAGTGGAACTCTCTTCCTACTGCCTACTGATCCAGATGAGGAATTCTTGGCTCCTTCTCCAGCACCATGTCTGCCTGCATGCCAACACGCTTCCCACCACGAATGAACTAAACCTCCGAACTGTAAGCCAGCTTTAATGAAGTGTTTTACTTTGTAAGAGTTACCATAGTCATGATGCCTCTTCACAGCAGGAGAAATCCTAACTAGGGCAGAAATAGGTACCAGGGACTGGGGTATTGCTGTGACAGGTTGCGTAAGCCAGATGGCTTTCCCACTGTGTCCTTTCCCTCATCTCTCGAGCTCTGTATGGTGATAGCCCTTCTTCCCTCTGCCACATCCGCATGCCTGTGTGCCAGTCTCTAGCCATCTTCTCTCTTTTTCTGCCGAATGACAAATGAAATAAAAAGGGAGGACATGACTGCTCCTGGCCTGTATAGTGGAGAAAAGGTTTATTATAGATATGAGGGAGAATATAGCTAGAGGCTGAGGCAACTGGGAGAGTCCAGAGTGAACATGACCCTGAGCCAAGCCATGTGAGAAAAGACAGGAGGAGGAAGGGGAGACCAAGAGGCCAGGAGGGTAAAGGGTAAAAAAGGGCTAGTGTAGCCCAAATGACTGGATTATATAGGGAAGAGCTGCTGAGGGAAGGGCAACCTAGCCTCTGGGCTGGTGGGTTCAGGGTAGGGGGCAGGATATGGCAACCATACCCTGGAACAGGTAAGGGCTGAGTGGTACCAGGAGAACCTGTGGGCCCGGTCTGCCTTGATATGTTAAATAGGCACCTCGGTTAACCCCCTTGTCCTGGGTTTGAGACCTAAGGCCAGCCTGCTGTAGAACCTCGTACTTGCTTCTCCCAAGCTCATCTTCAGTACTTTCTATTAATTGATTAAAATTTTGATACTGGAGGAACAAACCTAGGGCCCGGTGCCTGCTAGCCAAGCCCTCTACCAATGAACTATGGCCTCAGACCATCAGTTTGTCCTAAGTAGCCCTCCCCTCCAGGACTCCTTCCTCCCCCTATTCTTTCCTTTCTGCAGCCTGGTGTTTTTCCTTTGTTGGAAACTTTTCACTCATGTAACCCTCTCCTGTTTACTGTTGATGCCCTGTAAAGACAAGGCATGTGTTAGCTCTCTCCAACTCTGTATCTTCAGTATTTATCATGAGGACTAGTATGCAGTAAGTGGTCACTAAGTATTCGTTGACTGCACAAATGCACAACCGTATCACATAAGCATGGTACATATTTTTTGATTCAGTGTTTCTTGAATGAAAATGAACAGTAGAAGGAAGAAAAGGAGACAGTTGTTAATGGGGCCCATTGTACATGCCAGGCACTTACTTGACACACATCAAAATGGAAGTAATGAATTGTCGTGAGTAGTTTTGCTTTCTTTCATAACTCCTTAAAGGGCTTTTAAACTGTGTATTTCACGCAAATAACACAGATTGCTGGATTATTTTCAGTGACTTAATGTGAGTTGAAATAATGTCTCTGAGATACTATTCTATTTTTCCATTAACATATTTTAGCAATTTTCAACTTGCTTAGCTAGGCATTTGATTAACAGAAGGAAAAAAAGAGAGTTGGATTAGGTGTAATTAACACCTGGAATTTGATCACCTTATTAATCTCTAATGTAACTGAAGAATATTAAATACACCTATATCCTAGACGTGACTGCTTAGATTGTGACTTTCTAGAGGAGACAACTCTGAGTCTTAGCAGTGGAAGAGCAGAAAACACCTTTCTTAATTATAGTGATGTTGCCTTTCCAGAGTGGCAGAGACACAAGTGTGAATTTCTATGAGGACAATAAGCAGGTTGTTAGTGAGGCAAGATCTACTGCTTTCGTGAGTCTCCCAAAACTGTCTTTTCTTCATGTTGGCTCCATTTTCTGTGAAACAATGACTTCCACTGAACCCAGCCCTTCAGTTTCTCCCTGTGCCTTGTGTCTGAACCAGTCAGTAGTTAACTGTATGGATTTGAACTCCTCTGAGACATCTAAGACAATATACGGACTAGGTGGCAGCAGCGGTGGGTAAGGGGTGCCTTCTAAAGCTCCAGAATACATGACTCCAGGCAAAGACCACACCCAAGCAAAAGGCAGTTGTTTGTGCTAGGCTAGAGGGTACACTAGCCATCACCAGCTCCAGGACTTGCACCAAGGGGGATTAAGGATCTGTTGATACTGTCCTCTCAATGTACTGTATCTTCTGAGGTTTCAAGAGATAATAGATACTGTCTAAGTGAAGGTTTCTATTGCTGTGAAGAGACACCATGATCACAGCCACTCTTATAAAGGAAACCATTTAATTGTGGTGGCTAGCATACAGTTCAGAGGTTTAGTCCATTACTGTCATGGCAGGAAGCAAGGCGCCATAGAGGCAGATATGATGCTAGAGAAGGAGCTGGAGTTCTTACGTCTTGACTCACAGGCAGCAGGAAGTGGTCTGTGACACTGGGCATGGCTTGAGCAAATATGAGACCTCAAAGCCCACCTCCATAGTGACACACTTCTCCAACAAGGCCATACCTACTCCAGCCAAGCCATACCTCCCAATAGTGCCACTCCTTTTGCGGGCCATTTTCTTTCAAACCACCACAAATACCCCTGAGTTTTGTGTAAAATCTTTTAAGTTTTTAACTATTGACAATTAGTATTTTTGTTTTTGAAATTTTCTGAGGGAAACACAAAATTTATGGGTTGGCTTTTATCACTGTCCACTCGATTGGGAACTCTGGTCAATCTTTTTCTCAGCTCTCCAGGTCCACACGGTATGTGCCTGTTTTTGCTGCTGTTTAAAAACCTCCTTTATGTCCTGAACATAGCTAGGTAGGTAGGCTCCCATCCGTGCTCAAGCTTTCCCTGTGGTACTTCATGGCTCTACTTCTTGTTGTCTTCTGACTATCCAGTGAGACCCGTCCTGGTCTTTGTGGCAGAAGTCTGCTTCTAGTTACTCCAGTCTCCACTCAGTACTTTGATTCACAGTCACTGCTCTTGATGATTGACTCCAGAGCATAAGTTTTGTCTTTCACAGGGCTAAGACTGAATGCTGTGCTCTATCATAAGGAAAAGCTCTATCATAAGGGGGCAAAGACGCTCTGTCATGGAAGAGAGTACAGGATAGTGAGCGTGTATATAACATAGCTTGTCTTTAAGTGCCCTTAAGGCCAGGGAGCTCACTGCCTTCCACGGCCAATGCACTGGATCTGGACAAGTCTGACTTCAGAAACTATTTGCTTATTTTTGCTGACCCTTCCTCCTTGGTCATTCTTGGACATTGGCCTTAACTTCTCTTGTTCACTGGGCATTTGGTACTGAATGAAGACTGTGGTCCAGCACATCTAATACAGACATCTAAATTTTAACAGGGTTTGGAATAGGAAGCAGCATACTCTCTTGAGAATAGACGTGTATATATATTTATGTATGAGGCTTCTTCCACATCAGGTGCTAGCAGGTTTTAGCAGTAGGAACTTGTTCTCTGCCAGTTCCACCGTGTTTCTTTTGAAACTGCTTGTCTTTGAGTGTCTGCTTTTGTAAGCATTAATAAACATTTCCTACATTTGAAATCACATGTTTTGCTTGATGATACATCTCTTTAGAGACCTGAAGGGTTTTTTTTCTTCCAAATAATCACAAGTCTAATTATCTGCATATTAAGTTTAAAATCTCATAATAGGTTATAATGCTTAGATTCATCACTTCTGCCTAGGTTGTTTTGAATATTGTGACACCCAGCTGTAAAAACAAAGGTACATGCTGGTTTAAAATTAGCTTCCATAGATGGGCCTTTGAGACTGAAGCATTCTTTATTATTTTCTAACACACTGGAAGGAGAAGTCCATGCTCTGCTGTTGCCAGCTGACCACACTGCCTACCACTGACATCACATTGCTGTCGTTCTTATGTGTTCCAGGTGCTGTGATACTCTTGGGAAGAACCAACATGTTCCGCTTTAACCATCCAAAGGAAGCTGCCAAGCTCAGGGAGAAGAGGAAGGTGAGAATGTGGGGGCTGACCCCATCTGGGGTGGGGGAGTCTCCTAGGTCCTACCATTTTACTTTCTTGGACTAAAGCCTAGGGAAAGGAAGCTCTATAACCAGGTGGTTCCAGGTGGTTTGTTTACTGTCAGATGATGGAGTAGGATGTAGCTAATGTTTTCCTGCCTGGCCCACAGTCAGGATAAATCTCTGCCACCCGCCAGTCCCATAACTGCTCAGACCCGACCAAGTAAACACAGAGTCTTATATTAGCTTCAAACTGTATGGCCGTGGCAGGCTTCTTGCTAACTGTTCTTACAGCTTAAACTAATCCATTTCTATTAATCTATACCTTGCCACATGGCTTGTGGCTTACCGGCATCTTCACATGCGGCTTGTCATCATGGCGGCTGGCAGTGTCTCCCCCACTCAGCCTTCCACTTCCCAGCTCTATTTTCCTCCTTGTCCCGCCTATACTTCCTGCCTGGCCACGGGCCAATCAGTGATTTATTTATTGACCAATCAGCAACACATTTGACATACAGACCATCCCACAGCAGTAGGAGAACCAGCAACTAGAGTCCAGAGCTCACAAGAAAAAGCTGTTCCTTTTAGACCTTTCTTGCTAGTCTATGCATCCCCTGAAGAGCCAGGCTTTGTGTGGCATTGAGTGAGTAGTGACTTGAATCTTCCAGAATCTGTCTAAGTAACATAGCACTGAATCACTCTTACCACAAGTCTGCCATAGTAAATTGTGTTTTTCACTTGGGTAGGAGACGGAGTGGGGTGAGTTTAGGACCATTGAGAGAGATGGGCTTGGTTGAATGGGGCCATTCAGAGGTCTTATAATGATGGAGGAAGGCTGAAGCCCACAGAAAGAGAGGACCATTGAATGAGAAGGAAAGAAATCTGCACCATGGCCTTTCCTTAGACTGCTGAAGACAGTAAAAACTACAGCTTGCATTTTCATGAGCTGGGAACTGTGCTCAATGTATGCAGAGACTCTGCCATGATATCTGTACAGCAGCTGTTACCACCCCAATTCACAAGTAACTGAGTGGGAAATTAGAGTAAGACAGACTTTCCATAACAGGCTGTAAGGGCAGGAGATGGGCAACCACGACCTCAGTCTTGACCTGCAAGCCTGAAGCCTTTGTTCTAACCACCAAGTGACAGAGTATCTCATGCCACTTCTTCCTATATAAGGGCTTCCCAAGGCTGCCAGGTCCTTTGATGGAAAATGAGAACAAAACTACACCCCTCAGACTAATCCAGGACTGATGATCCAGCCAGTAAACCCTCTTGCCCATTCCAGCCCAGGGACACTCTAGACACTCCCTTTTAGACATGGTTCCAGAGAGAGATGGGGAAAACCTGTCTGCCAACAGCTTTTCTTGGAAGCGAATAGACCACTTCTTAACCTTTTAGACCTCTCCTCACCTATGCCTTTATCTCTATCACTCAGTAAATATGAACGTTGAAAGCAGCAGAGATAGAATTTCTAACCTCTTCCCAAACTTCAATGCAGCGTAGCTAGGAGGCTTTCTTAGCTATGAAATGCCTGGTGAATAAAGGAGCCCATTTCGGGGTCAGGTAAAAACCTGGCACAAGGGAATCTCCCAGGAACCTACCAGGATGACCCTGGATAGGACTCCTAGCAATAGTCGATATGTAGCCTGAGCTGGCCCTCTCCTGTGACCAGTTTGGTGACTGCCCAATTGTCATCAGAGAGGCTTCATCCACCATCTAATGGAAACAGATGCAGACCCACAGCCAAACATTAGGTGGAGTTCAGGGAATCTTGCAGAAGAGAAGGAGAAAGAATTGTAGGATCCAGAGGGGTCAAGAACATCACAAAAAACCTCACAGAATCACCTAACCTGGGCTCATATGGGCTCACAGAGACTGACTAACAACCAGGGAGCCTGCATGGGACTGACCTAGGCCCTCTGCATATATGTGACAGTTGTGCAGTTTGGTCCTCTTGTGGGAACCTAACCGTGGGAACAGGGACTCTCTCCAACTCCTTTACTGACTTTTGGGACCCTACTCCTCATACTAGGTCCCCTTGCCCAGTCTTAATACTTGGGGAGGTGCTTAGTCTTACTGCAACTTGATCTGCCGTGTTTTGTTGATGTTTGTGGGAGACCTGCCTTTTCTGAACAGAAAGGAGGAGGAATGGATTGGTAGGTGGGAATAGAGGGGATGGGGGGGGTGAGGGACTGGGAGGAGAGGAGGGAGGGGAAACAGCAGCCAGGATGTAAAATAAATAAATAATTTTAAGTAGTTTCTGATACATAAGGGTCTGACTGTCCCTCATCTGCCAGATATTAAGCATTCACATGAGTGTGTGCATCTCATTGCCTGTCACTAGTGGAAGACAATGGATGCTGAGCACTGGCCATCTCATACCCACTAAGGTAACCAGTCTGCCCTGTCTCTGTTCTTAGAGTGGCCTTCTGTCCTCCTTCAGCTTGTCTATGACCGACCTCTCCAAGTCCTGTGAGAACCTGTCTGCAGTCATGTTGTATAACCCTGGGTGAGTGAACAGCAATGCGTCTTCCATGTGATTAGTACTGTGATGGTATTTATGGTGCCAACTACGTTATAGTCACTTGATGGTAATAAAGCTTGGGCAAGGGCACCTCCTCAGCATATCAACCGCAGTCATCTTCCAAGTTTCTTTCCAGCCGGTGCTGTATATACATAATTGTACTTAGTTATAATCACAGTACAAATGGGATTATGTTCTCTGATTTTTTTGCTTAACAACATAATAAGCATTAGCAAAGATGGTTACAAGCTTCATTATCATTTTCATAACTGTCTAATATTTTAAGTTGGCACTTTGATTACTCAGTGCATGATCCCTTTGGCTTAAATGCTTTTATCTTGTTTTTATAAATTATCTGTAATAACAGAGGCAGCCTTGATCTTAGGACATCCCATAGCCCAGAGAATTATCTTCACTACTTTCTGACATCAGTGGATGGCTAAAGACACAAATGAGAGCATTTTAAATGAGCTTAGCAGCTGGGTGACCTTGAGTTGTTAGCTTAAGTGCTCAAGTCCTTGGTGACTTCATCAGTAAGATGGCAGTGATAATGGAAACGTCTGGAAACACAGAGCCAGATGAACACTTTTGGGTACTCCCCAGTTTTGAGCTTCTACTATTTCATGCTTCCTACCAAGAGCATCTCGCATAAAATAATGAGCTGAAGGAGTGAAATGAAACTCGCAGGGATGTCTTCTGGAGCTGTCCTTTGTTTGGCATTTACTTTGTGGTTTATGAGTTAGAGCTGTGGTTTTGTCCAGGTCTGTCTGACTCCTGGACTTTGTTCTCACTTCATCAGTCCTAACCCGACTCCAGTTGGGGCCCTGCTGCCATGGCCATGGCCTGTGACTGCTCTTTGAGGTCCAGTCAGTACTCTCTGTGGCGGAAAGCAGATGCCTCCAAGGAATTGTTGCTTCATTGTCCTGGGAAGCACCCTCAATCACATCTCTGCCTTGTTCCTTTTGGAGACCAGCAGGCTAAAGCCCAGATCCTGTGTTACGAGCTAAAGTAAAAAGAAAGCCAGTTGGTGAGACACAGGGTCTGCGGATTTCTGGCAACCCAAGCAGTTTATTTTATGGTGTCCAGCTTTGTCTTCACCACTCAGCCTTTCAAACTTCATATTGTGTGATGTTATGCATAAGGAAGTTATGCTCATTAAATAATTGTCTTAAAATAAGGCAAATGTTAGTGAGACCCCAAAATACAAGAATCTTCTCAGGCCACTGACTCGGCAGTCTTTCTGAAGGCATGAGTACTTTTAGTTCTTAGGATTTGTAATGGTTTTCTCAGCTGCTTTGTATGGTGGCTAGAAGAAATCATTCCTGGCTTACATCATTTAATATATTATGCTGGTCCTAGGCATTGATATCAATACTGTGATCCCATTTGTTAAGTACTATTTGTCTAGTCAAATAGACGCCCAGTTGAAGACGCGGTTATCCCTGGAATCCGGCACACCTTTCCCCGTCCTCTGTACAGTGGAGCCCTTTAGTTTGCTACCATTTGGAAACTTAGTTTGTTAGCTTTGAAAACAAAAAAAGTAATCTCTGCTCAGGTCTCTAGCTCTCTTTCCTTTGTGTCCATATGTATGGTGTTGAGTTCTCTCAATTGTGTCCATAAAATGTAGAATATGTAGTCCTATTAAAAGTGTTACTGTATTTTAATTGATTTGAAGTTCACTTTTTTCCCCAGTATTGATAAAATGGCATTCCTCAAAACTCTTCTGACTTCCTGTGTCTGCAACTAAAATGTCACATCAAGTGACTCCCTATCGTCACTCAGCATCCCCACTACCAGTACATATTGACACATCTCAGTGCACCTCAGTGCAACCTGGCACCTGGCACATCCATCCCGTTGTATCTTGGCACATCTCAGTACATAACTGCAAGTTTTGGGCCTTCAGGTTGTAACTGTGACTCAGCTCTATCTGAAATAACCTGTGCCATGGGAGCTGTGACTTTGCTTGTTCCAGGGGCTGGTACTTGTTCTTCCTGCCACCTGCTCCTGCAAAGCACCATCCAGATGAACCCATTCTGCAGGCTAGTCTCAGCTGTCATCAAATGAAATGTCCCTGTTCAGCACACACTGCTGCATTTCTGTCATCACTATTTTATTATTCTTTGTGGTGACAATCCACCCTTCAGCAAACTCCTTCTGAGAACTTACTATCAACCAGACTCTAGAGCAGGGGCCTTTGGTATTGGCAATGTTTGATATCCATGCCAGCTGGAGGAGAGAATCAGCCTGTGGGTGACTGGAAGATCAGAGAGGTAAAGGTGAAATGAAGTGTGATGCCTTTGGGGCAGTGTTTGGCAGGAGTGCTCAGGGAGAACTTCCTGGGTAGGAGATCTAAGACTTGAATGGAGTGAAGATGACACTCAGAAAACACAAGGGAAGAATGGAAAACATCCCAGATAAAAGAGAAGGGAACCAAAATGCTTCAAAATCATAAACTGGAAAGTGGACCAGAGTAAGTGGAGTACAGGAAGAAGGGGGATGCAAGGGAGGTGAGGGCAGTCGGTGGCAGCCTGTGTGGGCCCATGGGGGGCACTGCAGGGAGTGGTGTTGGCAAACAGGAGAAGCCTTTAGTTGGGACAGTAACCTGAAGGGCACTTACTTACTATGGGAATTGTAGTGTAGAATCAGGATATTGTGAAGAAAGCTGTTTGTTTAGACCATATAAAAGATAATGGTGGCATGAGTCTGGGCTTTAGCCATAGAGATATAGAAAAGTGAAATCAAGGGGGTAAGGGGAGAGTCCAGGTCTCAGATGTAAACTTCTGGGACAGATGTTGTACACTTTCCTGTAATGGGCCAGACAAGGAAGATGATTACAGGTGGACAGGTGATAAGAATTCTGTCAACATGAGCATCTGTCTTGTTAAGTTGGAAGCTTTGTGACCTCAAGGGTCTTGACTTACTTTATCAATAACTTAGCAAATAGTTTCGGATTGAAATTTTAGTAAAACATCTGAGTCCTCTAGGGTTTTTTAATTTTGGTTATGTTTTTATTAATTTCCCTGGGCATGGGCATTATAATTATTGAGATAAGACATACTGTGCAAAGTGGTACAACCCAGAGATAATGCAGTTACTTAAATAATCTCAAGGTCATGTTCTGATCCCTGACAAAAGGTGGTAGAAGGGAGGGAATGTCTTATGATAAAATGGGGAAGTAAGCAAAGGCAGTCAGGAAACCCAAGTGAGAAACAGTATGTTTTCGGTTGAATTACAGCTGGTGGCTTCTGGATGCTTCTGATATGAGCATGATGCATCCTCTTCACCTGGCTTCAGACACATTCATGTAATACTTGTTGGTACAAATTCAAATAAAATTATTTAATACTTCATCATACCTTCCTTCTCCTTGGTTCCCAGTCCCCTGTACTTGCTAACCTGCTGCAAAGAGTGATTACCCATGAATTAAATATAATTGAAGAAAAATTGCCTACTCTGACTTATGGGAAGGCAGACACCTCATTATGAAATTGTTGGCTCTAGCAAGTGGGCAAAATGAAGCATAATTAAAGCTATAGCCATGCTGTTTTTACCATCTCTCTCTCTCTTTTTTATATTGCAGGTATAAATACTCTCAGCATAAATTAAGCTAGAAGAACATTGAAAGAAATATGTTTAGTACCTGGGCCCTCATTAAAGAGTTGTTTAATTCCAGATAATCCACAGCTTGGACTCAGAGCATGCTCATTTCTCAGACAAAAACTTCAGGCTGTGATGCTCCCTCCAAGCAGTAGGTATTGCTGAGGATCTGCTGTGTGCTGACAGCCTGCTAAGTACCAGACCTCCAGCTCTCTATGGAGAGCCTGGGAACACAGGCTTGTCATGGCAATGCATGTAGAATGAGTGCAAGACAGCATGCAGTTCAGAGCAGAAGATGGCTGTGTCTGCAGCCTTCCCTAGGATCTAGTGGGAAAGGACTACTGTGACATGATGTACCTAGGAAGGCTTCTCTTTCTGATGCCACGCCCCCTTTGGATAGCCATTCCCTAATGTGTTGGGTGACATAGAAAACCAGAGGTCCTGTGGCTTCCAGCAGAAATCTTTATTAGGATTGACATCACCTGCAGCCAGTACCTTGGAATCTGTGAGAGTTTGATTCATGAGAACCATTTGTCTTCTTTTTGGAAGTCGAATTATTATTTCCTTGCATTGGTGCCAGTCTCTTGTGTAGTTTTTCTCATTCTCAATGGCATAAAATGCTCACACTCTGAACTAAGTAACTAGAGTTCTTGTCACAGAGTGAATAGCAGGATTACAAGGAGTCTTAAGTAAACTTTCTCCTCTGTAGTGGAGATCGTAATGTTCCCAGCCTGTAAGAAGAGAGAACCTTTCTTGGAGAAGAGAGAGGCAGAGAATGCTAACTGAAGACTTAGTCCTCATCATCCACCTTCCAAAGACTCAGAATCACTGCCTGACTTTGTACCAGAGATTTCACTCTGATTTCCAGGGGAACTGGGTCTTTGCCGGGCCCTGACTCTTTGCAGAAGGAGATGTCACCAGCTGAGGAGGTTGGTCCCACTGCAGGAAAAGTAGAACTTTCCAAAGCGCTGTGCAGAGGGACTAATGCTGAGAGGAAGAGAGGAGGGGAGCCATCAGGGTGAGGCCCAGATGGAGCGAGCAAGGTCCCTGGAAGCCTAGCACTACACTAACACTTGCAGTTTGCTTTGATAAACCCACAGAATTGCTCTTGAGGGTTGTATTTCTGTGTTTGCCAAGATAAATTTGGGGTACAGCTCAGGTTCCTAAAGTATGAACATAGTGTTGTATATGAAGATTACATCTATAAATTCTTACTAGCCCTTTAAGAAACCTTCCTCGGAGCTTGGTAGGTAATGTATGCCCTCAGTCTCAGCACTGAGGAGATGGATGTACAAGGATCAGGAGTTTAGGCCCAGGCTTAGCTATGTAGTAAGTTCAAAGCTAGCCTGGGGCTGTATAATCTCCCGTCTCAAAACAAAGCAAAA